GAGATTAACTGGGGGCTGACGGTGAGGGGTGCCAGCCGCTGGCAATGGGCTGAACAGAATCCCGCTCGTTGCCGTGGGAGCTGACGACTGCGAGCCCTGGCTTGCCGCAGTGTGTCTCATCATAGATCAGCAAATGCAGTTCCGCCCCAGAGTAGCTCAGACTGCCTCACCTCTTTCCCCCACTTTACATGGTTTACTGCTTCTCTCTAGATACTACACAATGTGCTGTGATTTACCAGGCAAAGGACACTCACTTTCTGGCCTGGTTACCCCACCACAGCTTCATCTCTCGAAATAAATCCGTCAAGACCCTGTGTTCCAACAATCATCACACCCAAACAGGAGCAACCAACCTCCCAGGATCCTCCAGCTTACCAAGAAACAGGATAACTGAGGCAAAGAGCCTTTTAACCAGGTGTTATCTCATTACCTCTACTTTGCTTTGCCAGAGTTCCCCCTGTATCTACAGTTTGCATTATGCAAATAATAGTGGAGCAACAATTTGCAAACGTGAAGTAAAAAGCCCTGTTCTTGAAGCAACAGATCCAGTGTGGTTCAGGTCTGGTTCTATTGGTCCCCATAACTTAATGTTTTCTTTCAAACTCTGCTTTTAATTACCTAAATCGATTCTTTAATGACTTAATTGGACCAATTCACCAACTTCTTCTGTTTAGGTGCTACAGCTTTAAAGTGATCAAAAAAGCTGGCCTACTTTTGCTTGCTAATATTTTTTATATATTACAAGACAACTGTGCTGAACTAAGTGTATATGTGTGGGAGTGTGTCGTTTTAATGCAAAAATAATTTTGACACCAATATAAAATACCGGATCACACAACCTCTAGCAAAACTGACCGAGTGGAATTTATGCTGAAATTTAGAAAATTCTAAAGGGTTCACAAACTTTCTAGCACTATTCTATAAGCAACATTGAAAATATAATTATTAAAGTCCCAATGAAAGATCTATTACACAATAATAAAGCAATCATTAATTCATAAAAAACATTAAAATGAAAAAAAACAGAGTTCAGTACAAGCAACAAGACACTATAAAACAATGAATAATATGTATTTTAATAACTCAATATGAGGAATAAAATTATGTACTGTAAAACAATTATAAATGCTGTTTAAATCCACCAACCTGGCAAATTGTGATAAAGTTACAAAATTACAATAAACCTTTATCTTTTCCTATTTGCCCATCAGTGTAAGAATTGTGCTGATTTTTTAAGACAAAATTGAACCAAACCTACAACACCGTTCCAAATGGTACTATAGCACTAGAAACAACTGTGTTGCCTTCACATCCACTGCAGCTGTGAAAAGTGGCAAATTGTGAATCATTTTGCACAATCGTTTATAAAAATGACAGACTGGAGAGGTGTTACACGTTGACTTTTCTCTGCATAGGAGCGTTCGGGTTAGTAACGCGAATTAAAAACATTTTTGTATCCGATTCAGACTGACTAAACACAAAATGTCAAATCAGTACAGTGTCTTGTAGCGGTCCAGAAAACAATGCCTGACACTTTGTGGGAAGTGACACTTCTGTAAAAAACTGTTCAGTCACTGAAAACACTAAGTAGCTCTCCGCCACACTGTAAGTCAAAAGGTGGCAACTGGAAGTTCTAAAAAGAAAAAAAGGAACTGGGAATTTCTGGACAACTTCCATCTCTCAACTGTGAAACCACAACGGACGGCCATGGTGTTCTGAAAACCAGGAAATGTTTTTTCCCAGACTCCGAGTCTCTCACCAATGCAGCCTTTGAGCTCCTCTAGAAAGTGAGAATTCTTTCATTAATTTAGCTTCTTTTATTATATATTATTTTTCGTACAATTACTGAACCACTGCATCCCATGCACTGGGTCTTTCTTATTTCATTTCATGAAGTTTAACTATTTTCAAACACTTTGGCCTATACTGCATCTTAAAGACCCCACTGGTGATGCAGTGTTCCAGATTTCTAGTATTGTGTACAAGCAGGATTTATCCTGTCCCCTCTTATTTCTTCCCGAGTACCTCCTGTAAAACATGGTCTACGTTCCTGGTGAGGGAAGCTTTGTATCTCCACAGGGTGGTGTCTCTGATCAGGTCCTCCTTGCGCAGGTGTGGTTGTTCTGGGGTTCTGTAGTGATGCAGCCTGGCTACGGTACCAGACACTTTCAGCCAGTCCCCACTGAGCCACGGAACGTTGTGCACTGAGGTCCAGATCATGGCCCGCGGGTTCACGATCAGCTTCCTGGGATTGAAGGTCAAGAACCTCTCGGGCTCGCGGTGCACGTGCCTCAGGATGTTGACCCCGGGGATGGACGCCCAACGCTCCAGGTCGAAGGTCCCGTTGTCCCCGAACACACTGTAGGGAAAGACGGCATTTTCGAAGAGGAAAGCGTTCACTCCCAGGTGCCTCCTGGAAAGGAACCTCATCATCTCGCCCCAGTCCTGGTGCAAGTTGGGAACAATGACTTCATCGATGTCGTTCAGGACCACGTAGTGGCTGGAGTACATATTGTAGTAGATGCAGTCATTCAACGCAGTGACCTGGCCGTAGTAGTGCAGGTCCCCTGGGTGCACATGGGGTTGCCACCCAGCAGAGGCTTTGAGGTGCAAGTGGATGTTCCAGGGAATGACCTCCACCACTCCCAGGGTTGTGTAGTAGTCCAGCACACTCTGCATCAGGGCACTGCAGCTGCTCTTGTAAAAAATCACTCTGTGAGCCCCAAGAATCCTGTACATCTCCACGGCCTGAACAACCTGCAGCACATTGCTGTAATTCCCAAACATCGTGGAAATGCATACGGAGAACTTGGACGGGAAATCTGCGGAGATGTTTTTGACGGTGTTGCGGATTTTCAGGAACGAGCCAGGTGGGTCCATCTGCGGGCTGACGCCGACGTGGACGAATGGGAAGTCCCCTGCCCCAGCGGGGGTCTTGCACAGGAAGTCGGCTGTGCCGTAGGGGAAGTTAAAGTGTTCATTGTGAACGAGCACCTTTGCCTTGATGGTTAAGATCTGCTTGGTGTCGCTGAAGTGGCAGTAGAAATTTGGATACCCAGCCCGGTATACAATCCCTATAATACGCACCATGCCAGGTGAAAACCTGTCATCGAAGTATGCTGAAATCACAAATGCTTTGGCATTTTCCACACGAACTATGGCTTGTTTCGCAAGACTGATGCCAGACGTGCCACCGCTTATCACAGAAGAGTTTCCGGTGTTCCAGAGCTGGTCTCTTACATTTGGTGGGTCAGGTCTCTTATGGGAATGAAAGTTATGTGTGTAAAGAAACCAGACACCACTGCAAGAAAGTACCAGCAGGTAGAAATGCTTAGTCCTGGAACAAAACATCTTGTTGACGTTCAGGTCAATGTTCTCCGCCCTCTGTCTTCCTCATCATGGAGGCATCCGATAGGTTTCCATTCCACGTCCTAGGAGAAAGAAAAAAAGGACAATCTGACAAAGCAATAGTAAAAATATATCGCAGGAAGGACAGAAAATACAGAATTAGACAACTTGGAATGAATTTAATGAAGAAAAAAGCCAAGTGTTGGTGATCTCCAACTATCCACCCATCATCTAGCTGCTTCATTCAATTCAGGGTCGCGGGGGCGCAGGGGCCTATCCCAGCAAGCAACAGGCGCAAGGTGGGGAACAGCCTGGATGGCTGCACGTCCATCGCAGGATACTCCGGCCTTTGTCTATATTTATCACAGGGCTTTGTCTTTGCCAGTACTTCCACCCCCGGCCCCAAAATGGAGGTCAAGGCTGATGAAACATTAAAATATCAGAGTCTGGGTGTGGGTGAAAGAAGAGCTGTTTATGACGCTTGCAAGCGGGAGAGTAGCTTACCAAGGCCAGTCTCCCCGAACGGCTATAAAGTTAGTCTTCGTATACAGTGTAACAAGCAAAGTATCAGCACGTACATCATATGACTTGCTAACTGTCGACTCAGTCCTTTCTGTTCTTATGCTGGTTTAACAGAAAAGACCTCCTTATGTGGCACTTTGCCAGAAGTCAGCCTTCACAAAACATAGACGTTATGTGAAATCATGAACGGACAGCACTTGGTAGGCGTTTCGAGCTGACAGGCAAAGAATATGCATCTTAACCTTCAGGAGATAAATTGTTAAAAGCATTTATTCTAGATTCTTCAAGGTCAGTGACCCCCTGGAATGGATGTACTCTTTAATATTTTGAATTATGTTGGAAAGCATAAACGGCACAGACATGGTTAGGGTCTTGAATTAAAGAGATCCCTTCTGAGCCCTCATACTTTGAGTTTGTCTTACTCAGTACACCCACTAGTGATAAATATCAAAATAAAAAAACAGGAAAGAATAGCAAACACATTTTATTGTCCTTGTTCAAAAGGCAACATCTCAAGTTATGGAACACCTAGGATGGAAATTTGCATAAAAAGCTGGCAGTGATTCAACAATAAAAAATCGGCATGGATTTTTCTGATGGCTGGTCCTGGAATGATTTTCTCCTCCTTCCTGGAGAGGTGAAATAAATAGCAGAAATCAATCCAAAGTCTCATTTTTTCATTGCGTTTTCCTGTTGTATTGACTTCTGGCTGTGCTAGAGAGCCCACATCTAATGTTTTTGGAGGGAAAAATACACGTTTTTGCACATTTTCTAACACTACTGGTGTGTATTTATGACAGATTGACATGAGGCTACAGTATGTGATCGATCTTCAATTTCTTCATAGAATAAAAACTAAAAAAGACGTCTCTAAATAGTCAGAATTCGATGAATGACTGACGTTTCTTCCTATTACATCGGCTTTACTGGTAGCCCGCCGGTTTGGAAATTTACGGGGTCGTTTGGCAGCTACATGTATTTTTTTTTTTTGGTTTACTATATATTCCGCATGGATTTACAGAGGAAAGTTTTACTATAAACACGTCACGTTTTCCAAAGGTAAGGACCTCGTGTCTTCTGGTGAATTTTTGCTTCTGTGATTGCATTTTCCTGGAGAATCCATTACCGATGGACTCTGGACCTTCTCTAAATTGAAACACTACATGTACCTTCGGAAACTTTTGTATCTGGATACGAACCACTGCTGAAAAGATGAGGTTGTCCTGTTTGTTTTGATGTACGGTTAGGAGTGTTGTGTTTTTACTTTGCTGGTCAAAATATTTATACAGTAATACCCCCATCGTGCAGTTTCTGTCTGAAGTGGTGTTGTCGGCATTTACGTTTTGTTTCTTACGAAATAGTTTCTCTGTTGTAAAAAAAAAAATGATTGCGGTAAGAGGAAAATGGAGATCACTTGCATTTGTGTTATTTTGAGAAATGATTTTAAAAAAAAGTTGTTTTTAGTGATGGAAATTGTATTGTTAGAAGCGAATTGAGCCTAGCCGTCAGAGAGCCCTACAATGGAGTCTATATTTACCCTTTGCTGACCTAATGATAGGGTTATTCCAACCTTTAAACTGGGAATTAGTTTTAAATTCCCAGGCATGTTGGAGGGCTGCCTTTTAACTACTGAGAGTCATAAGCGACTCAAGATCTCCAGGTCACCGTCAGAGAAGAACACGTGTAGAGGCTCCAGTCAAGCCACCTGTTAGTGCAATTAACAATTCAGTTCATTAACAAATCCAGGGCTACTCCTATCTACGCTGCAGTGCGATTATTTGTGTCCTGATGACTGAGGATTCATGCTGTCTTTAGGAACTCGTTGTGTGTGAGTGGTGGGTGCCGACGCGAGTGCAGATGTAATGAAACAGCAGCGCCCTTACAGTCCAGCAGAGTAAACGTGCCGGAATCGAGGGTGATCATTTCGACGAGGTTTCCTTTTTGGGACCCTGGCATCTGATTAGCAACAGTATTATTGTAATGAACAAGTGAAGGCGGATTCTACCCTCTTTCAACAAGCCGGACTGGATTGGCCTGGGGGGGGGGGGGGGGTTTTACTGTGTCTTTCCTGGATAGCTACTGTAGTGTTTTACACCTCTGTAATTTCAGTGGAAGGCGCTACAGCAATGAAAAACGAAGAATGAGGAAATGTTAACCTGAACAAAGCGTGCTGGAACAGAAAGCGTAGAGTTTAAATTCAAAATGTTTTTATAAACGTCGCACAAAATGCCGAGTCAAACCTATGTAAATCCAGTAAAGCGCCAACACTTACAACTCCGTGCCAGGATTCATAACCCATTTCCTTTGCACTATTACAGCACTGCGCTGTTTATACAAAGCGGACAGCGCCCTCCGAGAAATCGTCTCTCTACGGCGCGGACGCTAAAGCATGGAATAGTAAAAAGTAAACGGAGTAAATATTGAGTCCGATTTCACTTGATCGAAGCCCTCGACAGCAGGCAAGGCTAGCTGTGCAATAAACCGAAGCAAATCGAAAATGCCCAACTATTAATATAAAAGATATAAGAAATACAAACCTTCCCTACTGGGTGTAACAGCGAAGACGACACTCGCGCGTCCACACCCTTATTTATAGAGCACCTAATTTCTGTTTTTAGCATTAGTCCGCACTGTGCGAGACCGCTCTCCCGCCAGACCCGTGTCCAGCACAGGTGTCCTGGGGCTGCCCGTGGGGAACCCGTCCTTCCGGACCGGAACCGGGACCCGCGGAGTGACGAGCGGGGAAGTGCGCTTCTTCCTCCGTTCCGACAGAACAGGTCGGGACGGCATTACATCGTTTCTTAAAACAGCGAGAAGGGTTAAAAGCTTTCTCTCACCCCGAACACGGACAGTAGTGAGAGGTGAACCCCGAGGACGGGGCGCGACAGGAATGCTCGCAGTGATAACAAGGACAGCTGCTGCCCTACCTCTCCGGAGAGGATCGTGCTCCGGCTGCGGGGGTCAGGTCACCGCCTGGGTCTGTCAGCAGGTCCTTTCGCTGTGCAGCTTTGGGAGGATTCGTGGGGAACTGGACTCAGGAACTGGCGCGATCCAGGACTGGGCGCCCGGTCCTCTCGATCATTGTCTTTACAACCATCATAAATTTCCGTTTTCCCGGCTGGAGTCAACAAAACCGCAGTCTGGACTCTTGTTATATCATTGTATCACTTTATAAGAGCAGCAGCAGCATTCATGTTCTATGCGGAAATACGGCGCTGTATCCGTTGCCATATTTTGCCAACTTCGGCACGAAGCGAATTATTCCTTAAGCGGAACGCGGACAGTGTGAACCCAGAGAGAGCCGGACAGCTGGAGTCAGGCGACGCGTATACAAGCGCCCGTAGGCAGAGGTTTTAGAAACCCCATCCTGTTCAAAATAAACGTGGAACTAGATCATATGAAATGGGAAATGGTGAGAACACTCGAAATGAGTTCATGAAGATGCGCCGAGGCTCGCTGGTAAGTTGGTGCGCATTAACTATCCAGGAAGGGCCGATGTGTCCCTCCCCCTCGCCCGGGATCTACTCACCTTTGCACCTTGAGTCCCGGGAAACTTTGCACAACGTGCTAAGAAAGATGTCTTCAAGTAGCGCCTGGGTTAACCACTGCTGCCACCAGTTAAAAAAAACGTCCTCACCCTCATCTCATCTCGTAATTACGCAATAGCACAGCTGTCATACAATACCTTTATCAAGCAGGGTATCAGCATGCGTAGGCTGCAAAGGAACAAGTAACAGGTTTATCATCTTCAGGTGTGAGAAGACGCGGCAGTAAACACTTTTGCTTTTACTGCCTCGTCTTTCTCACACCTGAAGAAGGCTCCACGGCCAAAACGTTGTGTTTTTTCTTCCTTTTTTTCCCAGCGGGGAATAAACCTCGTACTTGTTCCTTTGCAGCCTGCGCTTGCTGACACAGCCGCCCACCTGAACGACGAAATATGAAGACGTGCGCGTTAAAGGCTCTTCGTAACAACACGCACTTGCTCGCTAATGTTCGCCTTTTAAACCCACATCCGCAATCCTTCGGATTAGGGTATGATATTGGTGATAATTTTAATTTTCCTGTGCACACAAAGGCACAGAAGATACTGGTATTAAAAGCAAAACCACAAAACCAACCGCTACCCCCCCACCGGCAGACAGAGAAACACTGTCAGAACTGCACCTCCCGCACCGGTAACCGAGCGCTTGATCTCGGCAGACGCGGTCACCCGAAAAACAAGGCGCTATATCTCGGGAACGAAAGCAGCTGGGAAGTTACTTTCAACGGCACAAAAGTAGCACTAACGAATGAGGTGGGTTTCATCGTTTGTGCGGTCTGTGGGGGGGGGTGCAACTTCACGGAGCTGGCGCGGGAGCTCCTGGTGCACAAGAAGAACCATCAGCCCGTACAATAGTGAACTAGTGCAAGTGCACTGGCCAGCCTGACCGCCTGCAGCCGTTTCCAGCACCACACCCAAAGCCGACGAGCCCTGCCGATACATCGAAGCAGCACCCACAAACTCGCTGAGGTTCTCCAAGCATTTTTAATATATACATTGAAATATAGTGTAAAAATAAAGACATTCAGTAAACAGTTAAAGTTTTGCAACGCCAGCGGAAATGCACTTATCATTCACAGCATTCGGTGACAGGGATACGACCAGCTTGGACGGGCACGCGTTTTCGCCAGGACAGAGGAAAGCCAAGGACGCCATCATATTAATAAAGAAACATGGTCATACTTCCAATGCTAGTGGTATTTAAAGAAAAAGGCAGCAGCCTGATTTGGCAACCGGACGCCTCTACCTCTCGCTTGAAAGTCTTACAGTCCCGGGACACGTGAGGAGATGACCGAGAAACCCGTGACTGTCGCTCCTACTCGACTGCTGTTCCGTCTGCTCTTACCTGGACAGGCCCCCTGCGAACGGCTGAACCAGAAGGACTTGGGGAGAAATGTTCCTCCTAAAGAAAAAGAGGAGTTCCCTGCTCCAGCCCCGCTCAGTTACATAATTAAACCCTTAAGTAATTTAATAACAGGCTTAATGTGAACCGTTTTCACGTCTTAAACATACTTAGATCCACCCCCTTAACTACTGCATTTCATAAGTAGCAGAAAACTCCAAACTGCTCAGTAGAAACAAAAAACCGGAAAATGTTTAAATTAAGCAACTTATTAGCTCAATTATGACTTCAATTAAGCTTAGCTTAAATAGAAACCAGGCGTGGGACCCTCCAGGACACAGACTGGGAATTTCTGATATCCACTCAGTCTTTATGGAGGAACACAAAAAAAAAGTCAAAAGCTGAATAGAATGAGCTTGTGCGAGTCTTTAGACATGCTGAAAATATTAAGATGTCATTTGATGAAGAATAAGACATAACGGAACCAGCTGATGTTTAAATAAAGTCAATTACCAGAAGACTAATTTAAATCTTTTTAGTCTTTTAGTAAAAGATAGGACGTTTTTTTATATTGTTATATTCCTGAACTTAATAGGGAACCAAGAGATTTCTTGCAAGTTGAACAAACTCTTTAAATTAAGTTAAAGCTGAGGTTACTAAAGTTCATAACTTGTCTGGGTCTTTAGAACATGTTTGGTGTCTTATGAGTGAAGGTAGGGCAATTGTACAATGTATTAAATCTACATTCCACTCTGTATCACTCCTCCTTCACAGGGTAACGTTCTGGTTAACAGTTTTCACCTCGCTACAGAGCACCTTCTTACGAACAGGCCCATCCCTACGCCGAATAGAATACGGCCCAATCATTGTTTCAGTTCGGTAAGATTCTGGGGAATTTCTAAAATTCACAACAGATGGAACAAGGCACAAGATGAGGTAATTGAGGTTTAGGGGCTAAAACAAAGTACTGTATGTATGTTTCAGGTGATCTACTAAAAATCACTTCAGTTTAGCATATATAGAGTATAAAACATATATTCGAAACCTTTGCTTGAGGAGGACAGGTAGTGAGCTTTTCTATATTGGCATCCAATGACAAATTGGAAAGACACTGATTACAACCCAACAAAACCTCCAAGATCGATGGAGTTTATTAATTCTCCAAAGAGATCCTTTTAAATTTGGGGTTTCATCCCTTTAAAAGATAACTGGTCACTCATGCAAAGAGAACTAAAAGTGAGACACACCAGAGGTGTGGACAAATGAGGCATCAACGAAGTTCGGTGTGTAACTGCTTGTGTTAACAAAACAATCCTTGAAAGTCCTCAAAACGACTGTACTGCGAAAACGTGAATTAGTCGGAGAATGCCTAGTAAAGAACAAATCGCATTGCTTAGTGCTTAACTTGGTCTTTGCCCAGTAAGTATCCTTAGCGTGAGAAATCTCCACAGGGTGTAAATATATACACACAAGCAGACAGACAGACAGCATGTCCATACTACTACCATGAGGCTGCAGGGGTACCTGCTGATCCAAGAGGAGGAGGTTGTCAGAGTCTGGCGCACTGCAGGAAGACTTGAGACGGTGGAGCCTGTCTGACACAGAGCTATGAGACACTGCCAGCCGAGACGGGGACACACTGACACACTGACGAGAGCAGGAGAGCTAGGGGACATTTACCCAGGAGCTGCAAGCCAACCCTCTGCCGTAGTTCAGATTGTCCGAGACTTGCCCCCGTTTCCGTTCCCATTTACAGACACATCTCACCCCTTCCCTCTGCCAGCCACCCGTCGTCTTCGCTCACTTGAAACGTTCGCCACCGAGCCAGCCCCCCTTCGCGTGCTCCCGTGAGCCCCACCGCGCACGCAGCCGACCAGCAGCCAAGAGCAGACTGAGGGGGCTCCCACTGATGACATCATCAGAAAGCCCCCTGGACAGATCGCAGGGCGAGCACGGGACTCCCTGGACCACCCGCCCCCCCCAGTCCCGGGGGCCTCTGCACAACGGTATGACACCATCACACAACATCGCTCACTCTCCCGTAGGCAACGTCTGGACTATAGGGGCTCAGCCTACACTCCAGGCTTTTATTTTTCAAGTCAGTCTGTCCGGCAAGCCAGGGACACAGCACAATCCTGGCACTTCCATCTGAAGCTTAACTACATACATGATCTTCAGAATTATAACCAGGTCGTTAGGTTCTGAATAATTCAGGATCAATGAAGACACAGCTGTGCAGCAAGATGGAAGTGACAAGGCTGCGAATGCACGGTCCGGGTCGTCTCCAGGGGCACAAGTGAGGAAGGTGGCAGAAGCGACAGCGGCTCCCAGCGGCCGGACGCACGCCGGCTGGCTCGTATTCGCTTCGTCCCTTTCAAAAGCGAGTCCCACAGAGTTTGCTGGGGAGTGAGAGAGGAAACTGCGCGCGAGTGTGTGTGTGCGTGTGTGTGTGTGTGAGCGCTGGATGATTTTTTTTTTTCAGGTGCAAAACTTTGGTTCATGCAACATCTGACGCCGTGGTCACGGGGTTTAAAAGAAGCAGCACCAGTTACGTCTTGTCCCGGGGAGGAGGGGGGGGGGAGCCCAGGAGGGTTCTGTGGGCCTAGCCGTTCTCCTTCCACAGAACCAGATGAATGCTATGGTCCGGCATGCTGGTGGCGAACACCAGGCCCGAGTCGTTCTTGCCATCCAGGCCGTTGAGCCACGCTGTCACCCCGGGAAGGAAGCTGGAGCCCCTCTTGGACTTCCTGTAGGCAGGCAGAGGCCAGCGCCCCGTTATGGCCTCAGTCCTCAGGTCCATAATGTACAAGTGATGGTTGTCGAAGAAAAGGGCGAAGACTTCCCCGAAGCTCAGTAAAGACAGGTTGGCCGAGTCCTGCGTCTTGATAACCCTGCAACACAGAGGGAGAGAGGGAGGGGGATTAGGTGGTGAAACACAGTGTTCAGCTCTTCCTGATCCGTCTGGCTCCTCGCTCCCCAGAGCTGGATCCAGCAGGGACTTCTGCTGAGCTCAGCCTCCGCGTTCCTCTCCAACCGGATCGCAGGCGGTGCGACCTGGGAAGGCAGAATTCCAAGAATGCTGTCGTCCTGCTCGGTCTTGCACCTGCGCCAGACGAGACGCGCGGATCAGGCAGAATTTCTGCAGCTTCTCTTGTCATGACAATAATGAACGCAATCGGAAGATTTAACCACAAATGACTTCATTTGTAATATTACACAATAATCAACATTAATCCTGGGTGTCTCTTCACCTCAGGCCCCCCTCCAGCACACTGTTCGAACACCACCACCTCTCCGCACCAGACGGCCCTTCTGAATCACACCCCAGACTTAGGAAACGGCGCAGCTGGATTTACAAACAAAGCCCAGCTCCTGTCCTTCCTCGTTGCTACAAGTTGTTGCTACAATATTGCTGCAATATCTCGGTCTGTGGGTTTGTCTTTCGTCAGCCAAGTTCTGCCTTTCAAACGCTGCCCTAATGAAATGACTGCCCGATGTTTTTTCACATTCACACATGGTTTTAAAAAACACACAAGAAATGATGTAATGATAGTATTTTCTGCACAACAAAAGTTGCAATCTTTATCATCAATGCGTTACAAACAAACCCAATGCCTGGAGGTGGGGGATTTGGGGCCTGGGAGCCCCTAAAGGTTTATCTGCTCCTGCTGGGAGTTTGTGTGTTCGTCACCTCTGTGCCCACATGGTACATTGTTGCTGTACAATACTGTCAACCCTGCCAAGCTGTGAAGGGCTCTGGGGCCCTACAACAAATAAAGCGATTTGCCTGAGATAAAAAGGGGGGAAAAACACACACAACTGGGAACGCTGAGCGCGAGCCAGTGTGGAAACGCTACCTGAGAAGCTGGTAGCTGGCGAAGTCCCACTGGTACAGCCCCAGGTCCGAGCTGCACACGATGTACCTGCCATCGAACTGCAGCCGGGGCTGCAGACACACGCTGCGGTTCTCCGACACCGACAGGGTCCTCAGACACTTGCAGTTGATCTCCCTCCCGATCGGCCAGATCTGGGCGTGGGAAGAGAAGAGAAGGCGGCGTCACTTACCGCCTGACTGCGCCCCAACAGCAGTTCAATAACAACAATAATTATCATGGCCAGCAGCCATGTCACTCTGCAACTCACGGCGGGCAGCCCCAGTGGAGCTCAACGGGTGTGAGCCTGGTGTACCTGGATAGGAGACTCCTGGGAAAAACTCAGGTTGCTGCTGGAAGAGGTGTTAGTGGGGCCAGCAGGGGGCGCTCACCCTGCAGTCAGTGTGGGTCCTGATGCCCCAGTATAGTGACGGGGACACTGTACTGTAAAAGGGCGGCTTCCTTTGGATGAGACATAAAAAACCGAGGTCCTGACTCTCTGTGGTCATTAAAAATCCCCGGGCAATTCTCGGAAAGAGTAGGGGTGTTATCCTGGTGTCCTGGTCAAATTTCCCATTGTGGGCCCTCCCCAATCATGTCTTCCTAATAACCCCCATCTCTGAACTGGCTCCATCACTCTGCTCTCCTCCCCACTGAGAGTTGGTGTGAGGGGAGCGGACTGGTGCATCATCCAGGTGGGGCTGCACACTGGTGGTAGTGGAGGGGATTCCCATTACCTCTAAAGAGCTTTGAGTGGAGTGTCCAGAAAAGTGCTATATAAGTGTAAGTAATTATTGGGACGGAAGAGTAAGCAAAAATGAGTGGACATTAAAACGATGCCTACCCCTGAATGAGACAAGACAGCGGGACCATGGGGCGAATTCGTGTAATGAGAGTGTGATGAAACATTGTAAAAGTCAACGAAAGGCATGAAACCGGACTTCCCAAGGTTAACAGAAATATAAAATATACAGCTTGAAATGAAGACTCCCCAGGTTACAGCAATGACACTAAGCTCACGTGAATATTGTAAACGTATGTGTATGTTTTTTGTTTTCATTGTAATGTACTGCAATTGGGACATTTTCGGATCTATAGTAGAAGTGTATACAGTACATGCAAATCTTTTCGGTGTGGTGTCCACAAGCATTTGTCTGAGAAACATCTGTAACTTGTTGTTGTTGTGGGTGGGCTTGTGCAGAGAATGATGGGGAAACACAATACAAATTAAGTTGCAAAAAAAGTTACCTTGATCTCGTACTTATCGGCACTTAATAAAATATAATCCCCAGGACTGTGCATCAGAGATTCCACTTGACTCTTCTGTAAAATCACCTATATTAGGGCAAAAAAACAAGGTTTTGACAAGCTGAATCAAACAAATACAGGTGGACATTTAACACGATGTGGGCGCCAGCTTACTGCTGCCAAATGTCATTTATTCTTATACAAATACTGAACAACCAGAGTATACATAAAGTACATTAATCCAATCAAGGCTATTTCCAAAAAAATAAACAGAAGAGCTCCAAGGGGCTCAAGCCACAGCTATAATGTTTTACAGTTTGACAGCACTGACATCTGCACTTTTTAAACCGACTCACATGATGCTCATAAACTCAAATCACAGGAGGAAGAAATGCAAACACTCAGCCGGGCCAAGGTTAAATTGGTATTTCTGCTAATCCTTTGCACTCTGCTCCCTTCCTGTCCTGTTATAAATGAACTACTAACCCTTTGGAAAGGAACTTAGCGCAGGCCCCTCTCCCTCCACTCACCTTGGTCACCCACTCGGTGTGCCCAGTGAGGGTGTTGAGACACGTCCCGGCCGACAAGGCCCAGACCTTCACGGTGAAGTCCGCAGAGCCGCTAACTAAAGTGTCCAGCTCGTCGTTGTAGTCTATACTAAACACTGGGGGGGGGAGGAGGAGGAGGAAAAAGACAGTGTTAAACGCTCTGCAGGGAGCAGAGAAGTACCTGCTCCACTTCAGGCCTCTGGGGGGGTCAGATAATTAGGAACACTTCTGCCACAGACTGAAAAAACTGAGCCGGAGGAGGAACCAGCCTTTAACATCCCGCTTCTAATGAGAACGCACGGCAGCGTGTGGGCTTCACTGTAGCAGGACCCTTTCAGCTAAATGCAAGGGGCTGACGCGCAGAAATCATCCACAGCACTTGAAGGACTGCAGGTACAGAACAGAAACCCCGTAGCGAAGCTGAGACAGATTTACAGCTCGTAGTAACCTGAATCAAGCCTAACTGCAGGAAAGAACTGAAATTAGTTCAAAAGCTTTCTCCATTTCATTTTTTCAGCCATCTGTTAGTTGTTTCTTACTCAGCTGTTCATTTCAGGCTTGACCGCCTGCAGGCTCTTGCACAACGGGACTAGTAACAGAATGTACAGTAGCTGCTGTTTCAGACTGTATCCATCAATATACTTTTTGCCCAGACACAGTAAATTTGCATTGTTTTCCCATTTACCGAAGCTAGTACAACACTTTGCAGAGTCCCTGTTATCCACTGATGATGAGCTACAATCATGCAACTGTTTCACTGCGCTCCACTGGCCTGGTCACGCCGCGATGAATCCTGGGACAGTTACAAAGCGACTGCTGGGAACGGGTTCTCGTGGAGAGTGACGGCACACACCAGGGGGCGCCGCCGTCACGGCGGTCCATCTCGGACACACACGCGGTACCTCAGACATGCGGATGAGACCGCTGTCACCGGCGGAGACCGGACGCGCCCGCCCGCCCGCCTGTCACTCGACACCTCGAGAGCTTCGCGGCTAGCCCGCGGCCACAGTCTGCTGGCCAGAAGAGGGCGCCAGCTCTACCCGGGCAGTGCGACAGCCTGGGGAATCCCAGTGACATGACTACAGCAACGTCTGGACCAGGGTTCTCCGACCAACAGCTCCTCAGCTCACTTCCCTGCTCTGTCGCAGTGCGTCCCCCTCGGTAAGCAGGAGACCCGGCTCCTGCTGCACCCCTGTTGCCTTCCCCATTGCCTCTCCACAGCGCGTCTTCATACCCCAGCAAACTACCTCCACCTCCGAGCTCCGGCTGTCCAGGAGCCCTCCCGCCAGTCAACCCCGCAACGGCTCGAAATGCTCTGCAAAGGGAGTTCTCAATCCACCCCCTCCCCCCCCCCCAACCCCGAACCACAGCACTCCAAAGAAAAGGGAAGATGCATATCCAATCTACCTGCACCCGTGTGACCCCGGAAATGCTGGATTTTGGCACCTGAGCTCCACTCCCAGCAGGCTATCGTGTTGTCGAAGGAGCCCGTCACCAGCTTCTGCTCGTCAAACTTCACCGCCGCGCAGGTGTGCGTCTGGATGCCGTAGATACACTGGCCCGTGCACACGTCCCACAGCTTGGCAGACAGGTCGTCGGACCCTGGCCCGCAAGAGGAAGCAACATCAGTGGGAGGCTCCGTGCGCCTTGTGGCACACCGTCGAGGAACGTCACACTCCTCTCAAGGACCGGTTGGATAGGATGACTGGATCCATTAGCTACTAATGACCAATTAGCAACGAGCTACTAAATGAGCCAGGACGTCCTCCTGTCATTTGTGACCGCTCTTTTGTCGTTAACCTCATTCTCGGAGGCCGCAGCTGCCCCAGCAGACTCCTGGATCAAACCCCTGTGAACGTTTTTGCTTTCTGAAAGTTTACCCTGGTCTTTTCTTAGAACACGGAGGAGCACGTCTCAGTCCCACCATGGAACGTTTTCCCCTGACAAGTCGGTGGCTTGTGGCAGACTGACCTGTTTTAACCCCATTTCTTCCACCACAAGTTCTTACTTCTGCATCTGCGTGGAGCCCCAAACCTCCCTCAACAGAGATAACGATAAAACATTTCGCAACGGTTAAAACCGTACACAGACACCTGAGATGTAAGCGAGCAATGAGCAAGAGTACACTGACTAGTCCCACTGAGAAAAGGAAGATCCCTATTCCAACATCTTGAAATATGATTATCTTCCAATATTAGAGCCACACAACACTCATTTTTGCCTGCCTTCTCAGCGGATTATTGACTTTCTTGGCGTTTAAGCCAAAAACCATCAGACATGCCAGAAAGTACTTTTTGGACGGCAGAGAACCTAACTGCCAGCGATCGTCACTGGGCCTGAGCTCCTGAGAGCTCTGTGCATGTTCGCCCACCACCCCCAGACTCCTCCTGCTCTCCCACTCTTCTAAACGGGTGAATATGGCCGAATGGGAACACTGATTTCTTTTTAATTAAAAGGCTCAAGGGATTACAGCACGAGCTTCCTTGCAGAACAAAAAGCTTAAAAGATTTGAAAAAAAAAAACAACAAGAACGCGTGTGAACCTGTGCAGAGCAGCCCGTCCTTGTAGTAGAGGGCATACACCCTGGCGCTGTGCCCGATCAGGGAGGAGGTCTCAAACGCCTCCTGCTCCTTCAGCTGCTTCATCCTCAGCTTGGCCTTCAGGTAGACCCCCTTCCAGTGCGCCGCGTCCTGCAGGGAGTCGTCGATCTGCCAGCCCAGGTCCCGGCACGCAGCCTGCCACACCTCGGTGCAGGTGCTGATCACCTTGTTCCACTGCTTGCACACCAGGCAGCAGGTGAGCAGCGTCGAGGGGTCCAGCCATCGCAGCAGGTAGAAGGAGAGCTCGAGGGGCAGCAGCCGCAGGAAGTCCCTCTTGAGCAGGGTCTCCAGGCGGGTGGAGAGGTGCCGCAGCTGGGTGGCCCCGCTCAGGCCGATCAGGTGGTCCAGCGACTGGTTCTTCTGCGGGTCGCTCAGTGTGAGAAAGGAGGCAGAGACGGACTCCAGCCATCCTTCGAAGGCCTCCTTCTCCATGAGCTCATGGGGAAGTTTACCTGCCGGGAAGGCCAGCCAGCGTTACAGGGGAACTGCAGGCCCAGCTGCCCAGACTGGTTATACAATTTCGGCAAACAAAATAAATTCACGGACGGGACAGACAAAAATGATGCATTTCGAATCAAGCCCAAAATCGTCAATTTGGTGAAGGTGCTGTAAGTCGCCACGTTGTCGCAGACTCGCATTCGAGTTCCCACGAATTTCTGACGTGTGGCGGCCCTTCCTGCTCACTAGTCACTGTGATGACTGATGGCATACACGTAAAAGCAAATAAATACAGGTTATGCAGCAGGCATTACGCCACAAAAACACTCCAACGCAGGCAGTTACCAAGCAAGTAGTATTTGTCTGCAAAACTGTCTCGAAGTCGAGAGCAATATTTCTATTGGATTAAGAGAGAGGTTTTCACAAGCCTGCTTGTTCATAATCTTAACCTCAACAAACGTTTTCTCGCCTCGTTCTGAATGGCAGAACATGGCGCTGCGCAGTCCTGGAAAGTTTGTTTATTTTGCCATCTAAATTGGAGGTTTAACAAGTTAGTGTGTAAGTTTTACTTTCATTGTGGTTTGAAATGCGCTCATC